TGTTTGTAGAAAGGCTTCTTAAAAAAAAAACTAGCTTACAAAAATTATACACATAGAACATACATCTTGTGAAAACTTGAAACAGAAGTGAAGCCTACACCATGGAAATAGTCCTCCTCCACAAATTAAGTTTCCGTATGTATACAGAGGAGAGGAAGCAAATTTTGAGGTTCTAACAGATGATCATCACTATATTTCTCATACCCTGGGCCCTTCTAATAGCTGTAGCCCAAGCAGCTCTCAGTGATTTGGGAGAAGGATGGCATAGCAGAAGACAGGGAAGAGGTTTTGAATCTCATGAGTCCAAGCCCTGAGTTGACAAGAGAATGGACTTGGATGAGATGAGTAAGGGGAAACGTCCCACCTTCCAGTCAGAGGAAGGCATCTGGGATTGAGGAACAAAGAGGAGGGGAAGGGAAGAGAATTTAGATGCTGGTGGATCCCCTGTTTGTCCCACCCCTTTACCCAGGCTGGGATACAGAGTCAAGGGGCAGAAGGGTAATAGGTTGGGGAATGTAGGACCAGAGGGCATCTCTTCTCCTTTTCCCAGGTAGAACTTGGAGAGGCACCAAGACCCTAGGGGAGAAATAGTTCATGGGGAGTCTGGACAGAGGGCCTGAGAAAATATAGACAATCCCGAGGCCCAGGATGGTACTGAAGCTGAGACATGACTCTGTGGATCAGAGAGTAGCACAAATGGAGCAAAGGGAGCCCCGAGAGCTCAAGGGCCATGTGGGTGAGGATGACGATACCATGGCAACACCGGGGTGTTCTGATAGCTGAGAACTGGGCAGGAGGGCCCACATGGGTCTCTCTTACAGTGTGGATGGAGGAAAATACCAAGGGCTGATCCCTGCCCACCTCCTGTCTCCCAACATCCCGGAGAAAAGGCCCCTGGAACTCAGGGTCACCTCTCGGGAAGGGGTCCTCAAGATGATTCTGCCACTTGCTGTGATGTGGGATGAAGATTAAAAGTACAATTTAGTTCAAGCACAAGAAAGTAAAGCTACATGTCTTTCACACCTAACTTTATGGTCTGAGATTCATCCTCACCATAAATGTATTCCCCTTTGGGTAAATATAAAAAGTAGCACACTGGGTATCTCGTTGAGCATTTGACCTTTTCTTCACTGAAGCTTACATTGCAGGTGTCATTTCTATGTTACTATATCTGTATCTCTGTATATCTACCTCATTATTTGCAATGGTGGCAAGCTTTTCCTTATATGCATATACTACAATTCACTTACCCAGGCTTCTTTCGGTGGGTGTTTCATTTCTCTCTAGTCTGCTATCATTCCCCAGATATTGCAATAAATACTCTTGTTATTCTTATGCACGGGTCTATGTAGGTGCATCTGGGGTAATTCCTGGAAGTGGAATTATTGGGTCACAGGGTATGCACAATTGCTATTTGCATAGATGTTGCTGAACTGCCTTGAAGAGGCTGCATGATTTACTGGCCCACCCAACAGTGTTTGACAATGCCTGTTTTCTATTCATTGCCAACATTGTGACATCAACCTTTTTGATCTTTGCTCATTTAAATAGGTACAAAATGGTAATTTAATAAGCATTTTAAAATTTCAAATGATGTGAGCATCTAAACCGATGATTAAAAGCCACTGGAAAAAAGCCAGCTAGCACTTATTTTAGAATTTACTCTGCCATGTGCTGGACATTATTTTAAATGGTTTACAGAGATCAAACTCTTTAATAGTTAAAACAAGTCTATGAGCTAGATGCTATTACTGCCTCCGTTTTGCATATGTAGAAATCTCAACACAGAGAGGTCAAGCCACCAGGCCAAGTTTTCACAGCTAGTAATAAAGGGTAGATCCAAAATCTGAATCCAGGCCGGCTGGCTCCAGAGTTCTTGGTCTTCACCACACTGCTATGTTGCATTAAAGGGCTTCATAATGGGCCTGGGTAGGAGATAAATAAGGGCAAATGTGCTGCCCTAGAGTGTTATAAAGGAAACCTGTTATCAGGGGATGGAGAGAGGAAGTACAGATAATTGTTTTTGTCATCTAGTCTCTGATGCCCTAGAGACCTGGGATAAGAATAAAGCAGAAACTATTAATAAAGACCCTTAAATCAGACTTAAGATTTCTAAGTAATCATATCATAAAATCCCACTTAATAGAGAAGACAGCGGCAACTTTTGGTCTTTTTCAAAGCCTCTTGAGGTGGCCTTCTGGGTGTCCGTCCTAGAACTCCCTCCTCACAAATGTCCTTGAAGGTGTCCGTCCTGGAACCCCCTCGTCCAGCATGTCTGAGGATGTACGGACACAGCTGGGTCAGGACGGACCACCTGCTGTGGTTTGACATCTTCCTGGTGTAACACACACAGAGCACGCTGCATGCGGACAGCACCTGCTTCCTTAGACACCCTCAGAATCTCCCCTTGGCAACAGATAAGGTAGCTGCAGACTAGATCCTAACCCTGGGCTGCTCCAACTTCACTACTTTCTCTTTCACAAAGAGTTGTTTCGGTAGGTCCCAGCGCCGGCATTGAATGATGCTGTTCTGGACCCAGTGCTTCACCTCCCCCTGAAGACAAACTATAACTCCAAAACTTGTACTCCCAAAGAGCGATAGGGTGGCCCCTGTGAATGAAGGAGGGCTGCTAGACTGCCTCTCTTTTCACAACTCATCGCCAGGACTTCCCTCCACACAACCTGGCCCATATGTTGCTCTCAGGGTCCAGGGGCTCTTTACAGGGAGTGAAAGGAGGCAGACTGGGATGTCAAGGATGGGCTCCTTCCCAGCTCACAACATCTCAAACACCTGTCTCATGTCTTCCACTTACTACCAGTTCTTTTGAGACAAAAGAAAATCAGCATAACCCTCTTCTCTAAGAGCAACAGGTGGCATCAGTGTCGTTATGTAAAACAGACCACGCTGAGCCCAAGCCAGGACTTTAGAGAGGGGTGTCAGGGAGGGCATCAACACTCCAGCTGTGAAGCCTAAGAAGTAACAAGTGGCGTGTGTCCTGAGATGGAAGGAACCATAATTTCAGTCAATGGGATAAATCCTTCCAGGAAGTAGGGCCACAACGTGGAGCCTATTTAGCAAATCAAAGGAAATGACTGTAATGGTCCAATTCTCTGGATTAAAGTGATGCATTGGGATGAGGCAAGAAAGAAATAAAGAGGTGTTTGAAGATGGAACTTATGCAGATTGGACCTAGAAGCCTCTGAAGGATGGGAAGGCCAAGCCTGGTGATGTCTCCTAATTATAATGTTTGTAAGGGGTTATTCACTGGTGACCTCAGGGTAACTGGCACTGACCCCACAGTGGGTTTTCCTTTTGGGAAGAATTCCAGATTTCTTTATTTCTTTTTGAGAGAATTCTAAGAGCCCAGGTCTCACCAATACTCATACCCACTGCCTCTCATTTGGTTTTCTTAGAGATGCTTTTTCTTGAATTTTAGGAATTAGAGAAAAGACCTATTTATATTCTCCTGGGGTGTTCTCTGATTAACTCTTCCTCCATTCTTCGGTCCATCTACTTTCCCTCTAGCACTCTGGAGGGGCGACCTCTGACCTCACAGCCCATGGTTGCTTTGGTCTCTAACAAATCTCTGGGATGTGAGGCCCACTTTAAGTCTAAAGTGACTTTTTATATGACTTTCTGTGTGCATTTTTTTGGTCCTTTCTGCTCTGTGTCTAGGCATCTTCTTTTGCTGGAACACAAGAACCCTCAGATATTTTAGTTCTTTTCACATTAGCTTCTTGCCCAACGACTAAGCCTGCGACAACTAAGTCCAACAACTAAGTTGCCCAACAACTAAGTCCTGTGACAAAGCAACAACACAGGCAGTACATAAGTTGTTCTAACTGGGGGTCATGGCAGGGTGGGAAGAGAATGAATGGGCCCTATAGACCTTAGACAGAATCAAGCTCTTGACAATTTATTTCTCTGTGAATTGGAAGATGGACTTTAGTTTCTTCACCTGCACACTGAGGCTATGACTAGCTGCCTCATAGGTAGTAAGGATTAAATAAGAAGGAATACCACAGTATAGCTATTGTATCTTACATCTTCATAAATGTTAGTTCTTGAACTTTTCTTTAGATATCCTTTGAGCTCTGGTCCCAGTTCCCTTTTCTGCAGTCAAATGCTCTACCACTGAACTATACCCCCTCCCAGTTCCCTTTTCTGGATCAAATAAAGTTTCTTTTCATTGTTGTTGTTTTGTTGTTGTTGTTGTTTGTTAGTAGCTTCGCCTAGATACTAGATACATCCTTGGTTAGGACCATGGATCCTCTCTTTCACCAACTCCCATTGATCAATGGTTCTCATTCAAGTTTCTTGAAGATATCCTGAGGTTTCTGGGGTACCCTTTTCTCCTGAAGAATAGGGGCCATTGCATGTTAAAAAACCAGCACACTGCCCAAGTTCTAGGAAATGTTCAGGAAACATGCTGAACAAGTGAATGACTGAAAACTGATTCTGACTAGTCAACCAAAACTTAGCCAGTTCTAATGTTTCTGGATGCATTAATGCTTTTAAGCTTCTCAAGGGGAGTGTGCCGTGTAAAGGATAGAAGAAAGAAGAAATCAGAACTCTCAATAATCAAGTATCTGTAGACTTACCAGTTTTATAAACTAGTGTTTCTCTTCCAAGGAAAGTCTGCCTGAGTCTAAGCACGGGAGTCATTGCCCCTTCTGCTACAAAGATCACTGGCTGAAAGACTCAATCTTTGTGTCCTCATCCATAGAGATACTGGCCCAGTCCAGAGAGAGGACGTCTGGAAGTTGAATTAACTGCTGGTGATTGTTGGGTAGAAATAGAAATCTCTGACCTTTTGTCAATAGATAACCTGATATGAAAAATCAAAGGGCACCACAAATTCATCAACATTCCTATAATGAGGCGGGGAACTCTTAATAGTAAACTAAACAGCTGAGTAACAGGATGACCGTACAACAATAGGGAGAGAATCGAGGCACTGAGGTCAAAGGATGGAGCCAACACCCACCTGGGAGGGGTATAAAAGGCCCAGGAGGGAAAGAGGTTGTCAGACTCAGTGGCTTGACCTTTCCAGCTGCTCTCAACCTTCTGTGCAACCTCAGCCTAACACCATGACTTCCTGCTACATCAGCTCATGCCAGTGTCCCGGCAGCACCAGGTTGCCTGCCCCAACAAATGTCTATGGCCCCTCCATTGACATTGTGTGCCAGCCTGGGGCAGAGGCCAGGGCTGCCTCCCTGTGCCTGTCGGCCACCATGGCACATGCCAACCGAGCCCGTGTGGGGGCAACCCCTCTGGGCAAACCCAGTCTGTGCATGCCCTTCAGCTGCTGCACCGCTTGCCCCTTGCCAGGGACCTGCAACATTCCCGGCAACATTGGAGTCTGTGAGAACTATGCAGAAGGCGCCCCGAATGGCCATGAGAAGGTAACCATGAAGTTCTTGAATGACCGTCTGGCCAACTACCTGGAGAAGGTGCGCCAGCTGGAGCGGGACAACAAGGAGCTGGAGATCAAGATCCGAGAGTCGAGCAAATGCCATGAGTCTACCATGTGTCCAGACTACCAGTCCTACTTCCAGACCATCAAGGAGCTCCAGCAGAAGGTGAGGTTTAGAGTAGCTTGGGGTGCGCTGGGTCTGAGGAAGGTGGAAGGGCATGGCATTTTTCTCCTTTCCATTAAACATACCTTTGCCCCAGAACCAAGTCAGTGAGAGATTTGTTAGCTTCACACCCACAGGACATGGTCCTGAAGGCTCAAGGAGCTTTGGGTTCTTGGATTCTCTCGAATATGAGTGTAGAGGCTACCTGTAGAGCTGGAGCCCAGAGTATGATGTTTTGTGTGCAAACTGTCTTCCTGCTTTTCCTCAGATCCTATGCAGCAAGGCTGAGAATACCAGGCTGATTATCCAAGTTGACAATGCCAAGCTGGCAGCCGATGACTTCAGAATCAAGTAAGTAGGGCCAGAAAAGGGCTCAGAGTGACTCCTCTTTTTTGTTCTATTTCTAGGTGCCCATCATGGTACTTGCCCAAAGTAGATGTTTGAAAATAGTTGCTGGCTAGAAGCATTAATGGATCAATACCTAAGTGTTCACATTCTTCCTTTCCAAACCATAATTTAACCTATTACTAGAAATTGTCCTTATATAGGAGAAAGAGAACAAAAGCATTGAAACAAAAAGAGGAAGAATCATCTAGATTGGTCAGGTCCCATGTCATTTTCTCCCCACATCTAGAAGATAAGAGAACTTGGTGTTAGAGCCAGAAACAAAATCAAGTCATTGTAAGAATAAACTTTCAGTGCATTGGCTGTTGACAGATGCACTGACTCTTGGTCAAATTCACCGGTGGGAGAAATTGTCACTGTAGTTCCTTGTTTTCAAGAGTTGCAATTGAATGAATGAGAAGGGTGTAAAAATCCTGCAAAATGATTAATCCATGGGATAAACTAGAAAGCTTTAGGTCCAGAAGGCTTACTTTTAAGCCATTCTTTTCCAGCTGAATGATCTTTTTTAGCAGTATGGACACTGCATTCTTGTTTGAACACTTTGGTTGAATCTGTGTATTTACTATTGACCAAGCAGACAATCCTGGAATATCCATTTATTCTTTCTGAGCCTCAGTTTCCCATTTCATCCCATCCAGTGGGCATAATGATAGTTGTCCTGACCATGAGCTCTGTAGCTACAGGATCCAATAGGGTGAATGTTGATGAATTGAGGAAATGAGGATCCACATTGGTGGGAACCAGGGGCAGCTGAGAGGACATGTCCTTGGTGTCCCGCTGACTTTGCATTTCCTGTGCTGGAAGGCACGAGAGTGAGCACGCCCTGCGCCAAGTGGTAGAGGCAGACATGTGTGGGATGCACAAGCTCATGGATGACCTGAGCCTGGCCAAGGCTGACCTGGAGGCCCAGCAGGAGTCCCTGAAGGAAGAGCTGCTCTGCCTCAAGAGGAACCATGAACAGGTCTGGGCCCAGGGCTGCAGACCCTTGGGGGAGGGTCCTGGGCAGGAAGGAGAGCACTGCTCACCTTGGGGCTCTAGGATTCAAACCTGAGCTCAGCTGGCATCGGGATGAAGAGTTGATCTGGGCCTGGGAGTCAGGCTGACTGTGTGGGAGGTGGTGGAAGGAGAGCTTCTTGTCTATAAAGGTTTGCCTTGTCAATTTAGGAAGGCGTCCAAATGGGCTCTTCCCAGTGGACCATGGGCAAGACTTTTTACATCAGTGCACGAGTGGTGGCACCCCTAAAGCTGTTTGTCTGGAGGAGGGGTTCAGGTGCCATCTGCTCTGTCAAAAGCCCTTTCTCACTCAGGATGTGGGTGCTTCTGTTCCTGCAGGAAGTGAGCATTCTGAGGAGCCAGCTGGGGGACAAGCTCCAGATTAAGCTGGACGTGGAGCCCACCGTGGACATGAGCAGGGTGCTCCAGGAGATGCGGTGCCACTATGAGGCCATGGTGCAGACCAACCACAATGATCTGGAAGAGTGGTTCCGAGATCAGGTGAGGGCACTGCCTCAGAGCTGGGAGGGACCCTGGCTTTCCTGTGGGAAGGCTGCTGATTATGTCGCTGTGCCCTTGTGCTTCAGTCTGAAAGCATCAGCAAGCAGGACATGTCGTGCTCCGAGGAGCTGCGGTGCTGCCAGTCAGAGATCCTGGAGCTGAGACGCACGGTGAACGCCCTGGAGGTGGAGCTTCAGGCCCAGCACACGCTGGTGAGTTCCTTTGCACAGAGGCCTAGAGGCCTCTGCTTGGCTCCCACTCCCAAGAGCAGTTCCTGGCTCAGTACTGGCCTCCCTTAAATACAGACCAGGACACAGTTCAAACCTTGACTTCTTTGCCTGTGCAAGAACCTTCTCATAGATGTGGATGCTGGGGAATGAACATTCGCCCATATGGGGCAGGTCCTGCACACTTATCCTGGGTCTGCAATGAAGAGCAATGGCACATTGTTAGTTCTTCCAGCTGAGGTCTGCTAGCTGAGGTCTTCTAACAGGAGCTAGATTGTTCTCCAGGTCTGGCAATACCTTGGGGTGTCACAGTCTTACTGGAGAGACTGAGGGCTACAGTCCACAATTTTCCACCTGCTTCCCCCTTTGCCATTACAGAAAGACTGTCTGCAGAACTCCCTGTGTGAGGCTGACGCCCGCTTCGGCACCGAGCTGGCCCAGATGCAGATGCTGATCAGCAACGTGGAGGAGCAGCTGTCTGAGATCCGGGGTGACCTGGAGCGGCAGAACCAGGAGTACCAGGTGCTGCTGGACGTCAAGGCCCGGCTGGAGTGCGAGATTGCCACATACCGGAAACTTCTGGAGAGCGAGGACTGCAAGTATGTGTGATTGGATCTTTTTCTGCCCAAGATACATACCTGATGGTCAGGCGGGTCCTCAGAGATAACTGATGGGTTGTGGAAGGAGATGTCATCGGAAAGAACAAGGCTCCCTGTGCATGCTGGCTAAGGGACGCACTCAGCTCTCTGATGTGTGCAGACTGCCCTGTAGGTCAGTTGTTATATGAAGAGCTGATTCCTAAGTCGAGTCCCCCCAGAGGGCTCCTGGATGTGGAAAGACATAGATGAGGGTGGACGAGGAACTGGTCATACAGAGTTCATGCGGCCCTGTGACTTGGTGGTAGACCCGTCCTTTACCTGTTTGGCGTTGCCCTTTCTGTGCGTCCCTGAGACACCTTTGCACTTCTCGTGTCTAACTCTTCCTCTCTCTCTCTCCCCCCCTGCAGACTCCCCATGAATCCCTGCTCTATGGCTGCCTCCTGTGTCCTTTGTCCAGGCTGTGCCCCTGCCACCTGCAGCCCTCTCTAAGCCGGTGGCACCAGCGCTGAGACCCGATTCTGAAGGTCTGAGTGCCAGCGTGGAAGGTCAAGACTGGCTGCCCTTACCTGCTTAGTCTTCCTTCCAGGAAGACCAAACTCACTGAAGGCATTTTCACTGAATCAAAATGTAACAGAAACTTCTAAGCAGTGGCTCCCTGTGCGTCCCTAGGCTGTGTTTCTCCCCCAAAGCTGTAATTGTCTTTCACTTAAGCTATTGTTTGTTCCCAGTACCTCTTCTGGGATTTTGGTTCTACTCCAATGCTTCAGCCTCTCCTAAGATGTAATTGGATTCCTGTACAAAATGGCCAATAAACCTCCTTCCTGCATTAATTTCTATACTTCTGGTGTTTGGCAATGTATGTGGGGAGATAAAGAGCTCTGGCCCTCAAGACCTTGGGTGGTCGCTGGCTCCAACATGTCTCGTTGCTGCCAGGATCTCTCTGGGGCATTGGGGTCTTAGCCTCTGGATGAAGGCCCTTTGCTGACATGGGATGTGTACTTACCTTGCCCATCGATTCCTATGGACTGGTGAAAGCAAACCATGCTGGTTGCCAGGTTTGAATTCCTTTAGTACAGCTCAGAACTAACATGTCTCTATCATGCTTTTGGCATCTTCAGACTCTTGGTATTTTATCCAAGAGCAAAATCACACAACTTAGATTTCCAGGCTAGCCAAAGGGAGGTCATGCTGAGAACTGCCCTGGCCAGGTTGCCAAGTTCTCTCTCTCATTCAGATTGTCCCTTTTATGGAGGCATGGCATTACCACATGCTGTCTTAGATTGGGCTCTGGGGACAGATCTCTGGGTCCTGGGCATATTTTCTTCCAGAGAGATGTGTGCTGGTCTCCACTGCTGTTGCCTTTGGAGCACCGATGCTGACTGAGGAATGCAGTTAGTGTGAGTGCTCCGTATGCCTGTCTGCCTCTTGGACATGGCTTTGACCCAGACTCAGGTGGGTCACAGCCAGGCATGGCAGAAGAGCACTTGTGAGATTATGTGCCTTCTTTGCTGTCCAAGTCAGTTTAGCATCTGGCATGGGCTGAGCATGTCCAAGAATGAAACTCTCAGATTTTGGCTCCCCTGTGTACCCTGGTCCAAAGACCAAGGCAGATTTGGTTCTTCTGAGCGGTAGCATAGTATTGTGGAAAGAGCACTTGCTCTGGAGTTGGGCCAATCTGGGCTCAGATCCCACCCTCTGTGACCCCAGTTCAGTGGCCAGGCCACTACACTCTCTTGAGACCTACTCTTCAGTTGTCAAAGTAGAAAAATGTTATTTCCCCTTCACTGTTGTTGAGGGATAATTCATACAATGCTCTTGGCATAGAGAAGGTGTTCAGTGGATATTGGTCTATGGGGCTTCCTGGGAACCAACAGGGATGATCTTTTCCTCTTAGAAGGAAAGCGGGACTGAAGAGTTGATAGCAGAGCCCATTAGCAGGATCAGGGGCCATGTATTTCCAAGTTGGTGGCCTGGAAGTTTGACCACCCTCCTTGTCCACTTCTAAGCAATAAGGAAAACCAACCACTCCTGTTACTGGAGCTTAGTGTTTCTCTCCAAATGGCCTAACCCAAACCAACCAACCAACCAACCAAAAGACATTCTTTGGGCTGTTAGAGGACAAGTGGGCTCTTGTGAGCCTCCTTCTAATGAGTAACTCACAAGAATTGTATGTTATAAGGAGCGGCCATAACTTTTTCATGTAACACGGTCGTGAAAATCTGGCCTGTTCCTGCCTTGACCGGTCAGGTCACGATCTGCATGCACTCTAATTTGGGACCCCCACGGTTAGTGGGTGTGATAGGAAAGGCTATTCCGACACAGGGGGGACTGCAGGCTAGGGAAGCTGGCAGGTGGCTATCTAGCTGGCAGGTGGCTATCCCGCCTCGCCCAGAGCACCTGGACACTGGTTTTACAATCATCCATAATGATGCCTGGCAGCTCAGGGCGCCCTCTGGTGCCAAAACCCAAGCACTTCTCCATTCACAGACTGGTTCTGGAGTCTGTACATTCCACGCTGGGCCCTCCAGCCTCCCTTGGTTCCACTATCCTCACATATTGGACTGATAGGAACCCTAGATGCAGTGTCTAGTTTTGTTTTGGTCACAGTGATTTCAATGAGGTTAATTATTTTTTTTCCCCTGAGACTATTGCTCTCTTGGCTTGGAGCCAGATCCTCTTTCGAGCCATCTAGTTAAGTTCCAAGCCCACTAGTTTTCAGATTACTGCCTCTGCACTACCAACGTGCTGATCTGTAATATTTTTTTCCAGGCTTCACACAATAACACCAGGCAGGCCTCTGCAGGGCTCTCCACTCATTGCCTGTTTTTTACTCCAAATGCCATTTCTCCCAAATACCAGCAAAGTGGAAGGAGTGAGGGTAGCTGGCTACAGGCCCCAGGACAGAGGCTGGCAGTTGCTGAGCCAGCTTTGGGGAAGGGCCCACACGTCTGCTCCCACCACTATTTGCTCCTGGAAGCCAAGAGCATTGAGATGGAATTCTGGACTTTTCCAAACAGGAACATTTTTTATTTAGATACTATTTTTTGTGTGTTGTGGTCCATGACATGTGATCGCTAATGCTTTGCCTCACTACTCCTTCATCCTCCTCCCTTCATCTTCCCGACTGAGAACAAAAGCAAATCTGCCCCATCTGTTGGCCACTCATAATAATCTCCCTGAGTTCATTTCATTGAATCATTTCTTTGTTTTCTTGTCACCTAATTTTGTGTTTCTCAGCCTTTTTTTCTTCCTCATCCGTGGCTTTTCTTTAACAAATATTAAAAAAAAAAAAAAACCCTCACTTCTCACTTAATGTTGTTTTAGCTCTCAAAAATATGAATACCGAGCCCTGTCATGGCTAAAAGCTCATTGAGAACAAGGCGGTTTGTTTTTAAATGACACTCCCTCTAACCAAAATATCTTCCTCACCACGTCACCTCTGGCAGGGAGAAGGGACTCTCCCTTGGAGAATCACTGCCTGGTTCAGGTAGGAGCCTCTGGGCTAGCTCAACCCAGGCTCTACCTGCCTGCCAGGTGTAAGAAATCTCAGCGACTCTGGAGAGTGTCTCAGTGAGTCCAAGCCACTCAGGTTGCTCTCGTCTGGCTCCAGGCCTTTCCTTCGGTCCTCCTGGTGGGCAGTCCCGCTGGGCTACATTTCACGTTCTCAAAACTTGAAGTCAGCATCTTCCCCCTCGAGCTAGCTCTTTGCCTTGACTTCCCGGCTTCCCTTACCACCCCATTCTTGTCCCAGGAACCCAGGGTCCTCAAAGACTTTTGATGTCCCTCTCTCCTTTGACCCCCATATCACTCAGCCCTGTAGTGTTTTGGTAGAGTCCTCTTGTAACATGTCTGCCCCCTTCTCTTCCTCTCTGTCGGCACTCCTGATTTCATCACATGCTGCTAGGGGTCTTGTAGGAGCTTTCTCCTCTTCCGTCTGCCCCGTCTCCTCTGTACTGAGTTTATCCTGCACACACTCCAGCCTTTCACCATTTCATCTAACAGTTCCTGGGTATGTGTTATGTGTCAGGCACTGCACTAGGTGCTGGAGATTGTGCAGAATGGAGATTCAGCGTTTCCAGCCCAGGGTGCATTCTGGGTGCTGCTTTTCCTAAACTACCCTTTGGTCATCTCTCTTGTCTACTCAAAACCTCCAGAGGACTCTGTCCTGTTCCCTGCTATACTTCTAGCTCTCTGGACGAGTGTGCAGCCCGGAGGGGACTGTGGCACTGGTTCAATGAGTGGAGCACGTGGATGGAATGGGTGTCCGTGGTGGCTGGCAAGAAGCCTTGGCTTGGGTTTGAGGGTCTTGGTCGACCTGAGCTAATGTTTCTCGGACTTCCTTTTCTAGTTTTGTGAGCACAGACAAGTAACCTAACTGCTCTGAGCTTTTTGCTTATTCTATAATGGGATACTGGCAACCACTTTGCAGTGTGATTGAAAGGATTAAAGCCTGAGGTACAATACTGGGGAGCACATAGTAGGTAGTCAAACGTGAGAGTGTGTCTCAACTCTGAATGTGTGTGTGTGTGTGTGTGTGTGTGTGTGTGTGTGTGTGTGTGAGAGAGAGAGAGAGAGAGAGAGAGAGAGAGAGAGAGTCATGAAATTCTGTGTGACTGCCAAGCCAAATTCCCAGCACCTAGTAGATATTAATCAGTATCACTTCACTTGACCTTCATCTGTCCGCTACAGACACTGTTTCTTGTGGACAGACTTCATACCCACAGGTTTAACAAACACTGTATGGGTTTTCCCTCTGGTCCCTCCCTTCTCCTTCTGTCATAGATGTTCTTATAAAACAAAACTTTGTGAAGAAGAGTAAACTAGGAAGAAGAAAACAAACAGAATTGCTTATTATATTAAAGACAACCCATGCTGGGACGCCTGGGTGGCTCAGTTGGTTGGGCAGCTGCCTTCGGCTCGGGTCATGGTCCTAGCGTCCTGGGATCGAGTCCCACATCGGGCTCCTTGTTCTGTGGGGAGCCTGCTTCTCCCTCTGCCTCTGCCTGCCCCTCTGTCTGCCTGTGCTCGCTCTCTCTCTCTCTTTCTGACAAATAAATAAATAAAATCTTAAAAAAAAAAAAAAGACAACCCATGCTAATACATTTCAAGTATGCCCAAACATTGGCCCCTCCTGAATGCATCAAATACCAACGTAGCCCAAGCTACGCTGAGCTTCATTTATATAGGATGACGGCCACCAGGAAGCTCTTCTCTTTCTGTAGAACAGAGGTCCTGTTCTCAAAGTGTGGTCCCCAGACCCCAGAGTTGGTATCACCTGAGAATTTGTTAGAAATGCAGACTCTTGGGCCTGACCCCAAACCTACTGAATCAGATACCCTGGCATGGGGCCCTGGCAACCTGTCTTTCTGCAAGCCCTCCAGATGATTCTGATACAGCCTAAAAGTTTGAGAATCACCTGTGTAGAAGTTATAAAAATATAAGGAGACCACATTTTTTTGGCATAAATTAGTATAAATTCCACTTCTATA